TGAACCCAGATGTGACATCTGCCAACTCTCCTGGTTTTTAGTTTTTACCACTGATCTAATGAAAGTTATAAGCTAATACAGTACGAAGTCCGGATTACGGACTCGTCAGGACTTCGGCGATTCTGGATTATAGATCATCAATTTAAATCTGGTAAGATGGCATGCAGGAATTATACAATTAAAAATATGAAACCGTAATTCATGAAATAAAGAGCAATTATGATCTAAAGGGTATCAAAATTTACATAAAAAAAGCTTAATATTTATTTGTTTACTTTATTAAACATTTCTTTCAATGTAAGTTGTTTAAATTGTTTCATTTTTTTGTGTTAAACGTGCATGCATGAACATTAAACGCGCAAGCGTAACATTAAACGCACATGCGTAAAGCATACCAAAAAAAAAAGTTTATGGCTTTGAGGTCTGGATTATAGATCATTCTGGATAATGGACGCCCGGATTACAGACTTTGTACTGTACTTGGTCTCGTACTGCTACTTTAGTCCTATAACCCTAACAGATATGTAGCGAATTATCGCTATGTTTGACATAGTATAACAGTCTTACAAAGGTTTTAAAACAACTACAGTCAAAAGTCGTTAATTCGGACACTCATAATCCGAAATGATCTATAATCCGGACCTCAAAGCTACAAACTTTCTACGCATTCGTCGCGCTTACGTGTGCTCGTAAGACCTTTACGGCTGTGACTTTGCCTGTGCACATGCGCATAATACGTTTACGCATGCGCGTTTAACGTATAACGGACGGTATAAGCTGAGCTAAAATTATCTAATTCAGTTAATGTTGCAGATTGCGTTGTTCCTTAATCTTCGAATTGGATCCGGCTTATTATTTATTATTATTTTTTTTGCAGACTGTTAGAGCAATTTTATAAAAGTAAGCTTGAACTTTCGATTATGTCAAACAGAATTTCCGATATATATTTACTAATATGTACAGGATCTACAAAGCAAAAGTATGTTTCGAAGTCCATTAAACAAAAAGTGGAATTGCTGCAAAAAATGGAAAAAGGCATATCCTTTGTTTCTTAACCATTCCGAAATCTGTTTATCAATTTCATGCTGCTCTGTGCGGGGGGGGGACATCGCAGCGCGCAATGAACTGGAAGTTGATTTGTCAGCACTATCCTTATCTTCAGGGCAAGATTTTTTTTTATTTTCGGCTTATAATTCCTTACTAAATGTAGTATTTCATCTCGATGTATTCCGTCTTTGATATGATTTAAATCAAATTCCTTGTCATTATAAATATCACAAGTACACATCAAATAGTTTTCTGGTTGCAATTTTCTAATTTCGACTATGCTTAATGTATGCTTAAACGCATGTGCTTGTTGAAAGAAATGTTTAATAAAGTAAACAAATAAATATTAAGTTTTTTTTTTTTTTTTTTTTTGTAAATTTTGATACCCTTTAGATCATAATTGTTCTTTATTTCATAAATTACGGTTTCATATTTTTAATTTTATAATTTCTGCATGCCATCTTACCACATTTAAACTGCTGATCTATAATCCGGAATCGCCGAAGTCCCGATGAGTTCGGATTAACGACTTTTGACTGTATTTTATTTAAATAGAATCTGGGACATAAGGTACGACTTTATGCTACAAATAACCACACCTTTTGAAAATTAAAATTTAAATACGAAGTCAGTTCAAATTAAACACCGGTCCGCAGTTTAAGACTACACAGTTTAAATATTAAGCTGGCTAAAAAAAATACCAGCGTGTCAGATTAAGTAACAGTGGCGACAGAATGAAAGGCTAAGACAGTTACATTTAACTAGAGTTGATGGAATCTAGCCAGAAACACTGTCTCTCAAGTTTCATAACCCTCAGCTTATAAACCAATTAATTTGCAATCTGATGAGAAATATGGAAAGAAGATATTCTAAATAATAATAAAGAAGTTAAGATCCAACTCATAATAAATAAATGGTTAGTTTAAAATAAGAACCTTACAAAGTGTTTTTCAGCAATAAAATTAAATTATGCAAATAAAATTTCCACATTTTGAGTTTCATTATCGAATCGTGGAGCACTTTTTAAGGCTTGTATACACTTTACACAAGGGAAAAACCACGAAAACACCCATGCAGCCAGCTCCTTTGGCGGGATTCGAACCAGTGTTCAGCGATTTTACTGCTCGACCACTGGTGGGCTCAAATTCGTTAGGTCCATTTTGGAACAAGAAACAAGAAAAATATGTAATGTTTTCATCAGAATTTGAACTCCGAACCTTCCGACTGCTTCTAGTTACACCACGAAGATATGTGGGCTTTAGATCTAGTCACTAAATCCTGGTGCAGTGGCGGCTCGTGGCTAAAATTAGTGGGGGTGCTGTTCCAAAAAAATTTAACCTTTGTTTTAAAATTATGTAAAAGGAAAAAAACATGTATAAAAATAAAATTTATTTTGAAACTTATTTGAAATTTTACAAGAAAAAATTAAACATTTCTTAATTACTTTAACCAAAATTATTACAGTTCAATCTTTGTCTAGTCATTTAAAAATGAAATCCATTACTCTTGTTTTAATTTGCGCGAAAAGATCAATAATTTTCTCCTTGATCTCTGGATGACAACTGAGGAAATTTTTCTTTATTGAAAGCAATGCAAGCGCATTGAGTCTTTTCGAATTCCTAGTGCTTCTTAGAAAAATTTTTCATTGTTTTCAGTGTTGAAAAGCAGCTTCTGCCTCTGATGTAGTCATGGGAACTCTCAAGAGAATTTTTATCAGTTTCATAATTTAACTAAGAACATCATCTAGATTATTTTCGAAGATAAATTTCAGTAGCTCAATTAATTTGCAGTATTCATAGATATCAGACCTACAATAGAATACTTTTAGTTCAGTTTCAAGCTTTCCTTTGCCAATCATTGGATATGCTTCAGTGGTCAGTACTATTTCTTCTGTAGAATGTTCATTCCTAAAACTAAGCATTTCTTGTTAAACAATTTAGCAGCTGCTAAGTGTTTAGTGGAAGAATATCTGTGCGTTATATCAATACATAGTATAAAGTCGCATATTTCCTTAGCTTCTGCCATCAGTGTCTTTGAAAAATTCTTACAGTACTTTGAGTTTATTAATTCTAAAATAGCAGTTTTGAAAACTTTAAACACACTTTTTTCTCTGGATTGCATTTAGTTGTATATTATTTCAACATGAGGTATCTGATAAAAAATCTCTAACCAAAACTTGAAATTATCATAATTTAGATATTTTAAAATTCCTGTTGCTTTTGCAATAGTTTGATCTGCATTTGATGTTGACTGAATTTCAGTAAGACAATTTTTTTAAAGTTGCAAATTCTCATGAACTCTGTTTATGGTCCGTATGATAAAGTTACACCTTGTGGAGGAATACCACACGCCCGGAGTAAAAAGAAATCACGTTTTCAGCAACATGCCAGAATTTCGGCACTGCAAGAGCGACAGTGCTCTTCTGTCTACTCAGCTCGCGTGCTGATTTCTGTGTGCGCATGCGCAGAACAGCCAAACACCACGTTGCTGGAACTGTGAAGAGCGCAGTTCCAAAGACTTTCGTACCTTTTTCACAAAGTGGGGGATGGCTACTGACATTAAGCTTAAGGATTATGTATTGTAAAAGTATATAGAAAGAATTAAAGACTAAAGGGACACTATATTAAATATTAAAAATAATAATAAGTGGACATAGGGGGTGCTGCAGTTCCACAGTGCTTATTACGAGCCGCCACTGTCCTGGTGATGATGAATTATGATCCACCACACATTTTTTTTTTTTTTTTTTTTGTGCTGCCTTAGAGCGATTTTTTTTAATCAATGTAAAAAATTTTCAATGGTCTCACCGTACATAAATGTGTCATATCTATCACACAAATGAAACATTTTATGAAATGCACAGAATGTGTCTAATGCTCCAGTATCAGGATGGACAGTTTCGCAACAAATGGTCCAGGTCATCTTTTGCATAGGCTTCCAGTAACAGTGGGACAGCGTAGTCTTCAGTGGAGAATCTCGCTTCTCAGCTTCACAGGTGATGTAGACGTATGACGGTATGGAAGCAATAAGCCCATCAAGACTAAGCCTTTACCACTTTCGATAGTATAAAGTCCGTCAAAGTAAAATAATGTTTGGGGCGATATAATTGCTAAAAATCCTCTCCAGAGTGCATTACAAGCATATTAACAGGATGCCACTAGGCTGACAACTAGCCCCCCAATCTTCCTCTATACTTCCATGGCATTTAAAACACCATTTTTCAACAACATAATGCCTGATCACATGCAGCTAGGCTCATCCTGAATACATTCCAAGATATACAAAGTGCTTCCTTGCTCACACCATCACTCATATTTCTATGCAACTGAGCATTTTTGGGACAAGAATACATTCATTGAATGCCTCTCCTTTTATACAAAATGAAGATGAACTTTGGGATCATATCAGGAAGACATGGTGCATAATACAAGACATGACTGGTTCGATGCAACAATGTGTTAAAAATTGTATTGCCCAAGATAGGTTGCAACATTTTATTGATGCTTTTGTATCATTGACCTGTGCATCTTTAAAAATTAAGTCACTAAGTGCTTAATTATTTATCCAAGACGCCCAAATCAAAGAGTGGTTAGTGTCGTTAAATGACATATTGAAAGGCCCAGGCTCGAAGAAGGGATGGATGTTTCTAAGAGCGTAGGGTCCATCCCATGGTCTCTTTTGGAATTCCATCTAGGGCAGAAGCTTAGCAGTTAGCAAGACTCAGCGATAGCTAATATGCCTACATGATGCACAGATGAAAGACTTGCTTCAGTCTAATTTGAGTTTTATCCAAGTTGTGTGTATCTAAGTTGAGTATGTTTCCAGTCATTCATTCACGGTGTGGCATTTTCTCTGTCATGCAATGTATTTTTCCATTATATCTCCCAACAACAGTCTTAAAACTTATATAAATTTATAGAACTAATATAAAATAATTCTACTCTTTTCTTCAGGAAGCCAATTCCTATGCACACAATAAACAGCATCAACGGCGGAAAAGGAACGACAGCACAAAGAAATCATCCAAGAAAAGCCAAGAAATCAGTACTGAGCTTTAAATAACGAAAAATGTTTAGAAATATTGTACTTTGTACAAAGACGTGACTATTTTTCAAATAAATAATGTAAATAAAACTATCAGACATGACATATTATATATGACTACTGTAAATCATAACTAATTACAGCAAATTAACACTAGTCAAAAGATAACTAATTACAGCAAATTAAGACTAAATATCAACTACAAAATATTAACCTCAAACATTCTTTAAAGCGGGGCCCAATTTATAAACTGCAGGCAAGGAGCAAAACCTGTCATGGACATTCTCTCTCTAATTTTATCAAAGTAGTAACATTGATGCAAATGATATTTATATAAACTATTTCATGAAATGACTTGATAATCCAACATTTTTCCATTCAGAGTTGTTTAAAGATAAAAGTACATTTGACCTTTTTCACATTTTGTTTTCATAATTTTGGCTTAGGAAGTGTTCGACAAACAAAACCTAAACAACTTAGTCCAGTTTAAATCAGGATATCTTTTTTTTTTTTTTTTTTTTTTGAAAGAGAGAAAGGGGGCAACAGAATGCATACTGACTTTACTACAAAGTTTGATATAGATATGATAAAGTTAACAAAATTATACTGCTTACCAATTCAATATTTCAGTATATGACTGCAATACAAAAGTTTCTTTCAAATTCAGTTTCTTTTAAACACTGAATACTTCACTTCTCATGATGGGTCATTCCATAGCATTAATGTCCTGACCATCTTAAATATTAATTTCTGAATTAAAAAAAAATTATAGATTCTCATATTATTATAAATCATAATTTTAAATGAAAAATATAATAACGAATTAAATTTTTGAACCGAGGTTTCACTGTATTTGATTGGTTGAATGAACATATGTTCATTCAACTTCATAGGTTTAATTTCTTTTGAGAAATAAACCATAAGCACAATCATAAGATTTTTTTTATAAAATCCCCGATTTTGGAACAAAAATAATTTATATGATGGCAAATCTCGCAAGCGCTATCTGCCTAAGGATGGTCTTTATAAGGGTACATAGCTAATACTTGTATTACACATGGAGAAAATCATGAAAACTTCCATGCATCCAGCTCATTTGCCAAGATTTAAACCTAGGTCAAAGCACTAGTGTTCAGTGATTTTACCACTCAAACCACTATTAGGCTACCAGTGTTGGAACATATAATAAAAATGGCAAGTCTTGGCAAAAATATATGTTTTTGTTTACTTTTAGTCTCTCTTCTCAATGAATGGACTTAATTCCTTAAAAGGGGGCTATGAACAAGTTCAAACCTGCACCACTGCCTAACTCTACAATGGACTATGCAAAGCTTTTACAAGGGATTTTATAGCTGCTGCACTCATAAGAGAAAATACTAAAATTAATTTTTACAATTTTGTAATATATTTTTTATACATTGTTCCCGAAACCAAGAATTACCAATCTCTCCCCAGCAATATCTATGATTCTTAATAGTTGGCAATCTCCATTCAACAGATCCATTATTATTTTCATCAGAAACTAGAAAAATTTAAAGCATGTCGCATTACACTGTAAAAAAGCCTGATTTGCATATTCCAGAATTCAGCATCACTTAATTTTTTAATATAGAATCTTTGAAATTTATTCGTTTGAAAATTTATGCTACAGAACTCAAAATGTCAAACATTTCAACTTTAAAATAATGTCCTGTTCTGGAACTTCACTTATGTCTAAACTCATTCCCTGTTTGTTTCTAGATATACATCTTCTGAGTCTAAAAACTGAGTACTGAGTATCGCTGGCTAAATTTATCTTGGTGCATTTGCAATATTGTAAGATTTCCTCAGAATTTAAATGATATTGTAGATTAGTTCGCAGCACTAATTAATCATTTATTTGTTTTCAATTAAATTTCATTAACTTTTAATTTGCTTTTTATGAATAAAGAATGTTTGTTAAATTCAAATTTATATTTAGATTTATAATTGTTGGTAAGATGAATGTTGGAAAGAGAATACAGGCCTTTATTAAGGGTTTTCTCTAATGCAGTTAAGACTGTTATACAGCTCATTCAGAATAATGCATAATGTCATAATGTATTTTGAATAATGTATCATGTATCAAATTCCCATATAATGTTGCCACTGTTATTATTTGGAACAAGGAAACTACAAGCATTTTGGTTAACATATTAAAATTGTTAATTTACAAAAATTAAACTAAATCTGGTACAAATGCCACTTGACATGTTAAATTTTTTAAAGTAAAGTCTCAATGCTTCAAAACAGGATTGACCTTCAATGGTTTATGTTTTTATTAATTTAGTATACCACAAACAATGTAAAAGAATAGTTAACTTTTGTTATTCTATAAAATAAATACAGTACAAAATCTTTAATCCGCACTCGTCAGGACTTCCGTGATTCTGTATTAGGGGTTTTATCAATTTAAATCTGGTAAGATGGCATGCAGAAATTATAAAATTAAAAATATGAAACCGTAATTTATGAAATAAAGAGCAATTATGATCTAAAGGGTATCAAAATTTACATAAAAAAGTTTAATATTTGCTTACTTTATTAAACATTTCTTTCAATGTAAGTTGTTTAAATTGCTTTGTTTTTTGTGCTAATACTTTCTCTTTAATTCTATAAACAAACATAATTTCTTGTTCAGTTCCACTGTTCAAGTCCTGTAATTGCTGTGTCGAGAATACCGACTAACTTCTCAATCAAAATTTTTTCGTTTTCAATAACCTGTCACTTTCTTCACTATCGGAAGCGGTGCATCGAAACATGCTTTCACTTTGTAGATCTTTTGGCAGCTCCAGAATCGAAAACTCTTTTTGACATAATCGAAAGTTCAAGCTTACTTTTTATATAATTGTTCCAACAGTCTGCAAAAAATAATAAGCCAGATCCAACTAGAAGATTAAGGAACAAGGCAATCCGCAACATTAACTGAAATAGATAATTAGATAATTTTAGCCTAGCTTATATTGTCCGTTATACATTAAATGCGCATGCGAAAACGTATTATGCGCATGCTTAAACACATATGCGCATGCACAAAAAGTTTGTAGCTTTGAGGTCCAGATTAGATCATTCCGGATTATGGACGTCCAGATTAAAGACTTTGTACTGTACAAAGAGACTAAAGATAAATATGGCTAACCTTCCTATGTTACAAACTTAAATAGTCTATTAAAGTTCTTATATCATTAAAATGACACAACAGATAGATAATTTAATGAAACTGAACAAACCAGACTTTCATAATGCATTGTTGTTTTACTTATTCTTCTACAATTCTTTACACTTCCCTAATATACTACCTACCTATCACTAAAACAGCAATGTAAGACATTAAAAAAAAAGCAAAATTATGAAGTTCTTAAACAAGTTTAGAACATATCTTGTTTTATTCATGTACACAAACATTGAAGGTAAGTCATTAAATTTACTTGAATTACTAAGTACATGTACAAAAATATAATTCAAATTTTATCAATATAATATTCCACTTAATAAATCACGGACAACTCCTTCCATCATTCTCTGTTTGGGTCCAAGATCCACTAAATCATTAAATAAATTGCAAAAATGCAAAAGAAAATTTCTTAAAAAAAAAAAAAAAAAAAAAAAAGCATGTTTAAATACACATACGCACACAAAATGATCGCATATTCACTACAGAAAATTCAATGAGGAAAAAATCAATTTGAAAAAGGAGAAAGTATTTTACATACAAATCAGTACAGATATACTATAAAATAATTTCTTGTAGCAGATTTGATGGGTAATATACTTCAAAAGATTACAGAATACTGATGTAACAGTGAAAGTTAATAATCAGACAGTTGAAATCATTAAAAATACATCATAGTTATATGAAAAGGTAAAGTATATTTTTTTACAGTTAAAATCTTTTTTCAAATTTTCAGAATTGCCTTATATACATTCCTAATTCAAATCTTAGAATAAAATGTCTGCAGAAAACTTGTTTTACTTCAATATGAAATCTATTTGTGTATAGTCTTCTCCCTTTCCATAACCAAGAAATCAGAGACCATTACCGGGGGGGGGGAGTATGATGTTTTATTTACCAATTAAACAATTAAAAATAATTCAACTTTCCAACAATGAATCATATGCATAGTTTTAGTTAATTATGATTTATGCCAAGTGTTTTCAAAGTGGATTACACTTAACATTTTCTGTATAGGTAACATTATGTAATACTTAGACAGAAGCTCATAGAAAAATTTCTCAAAAGTGCTCAATAACTAATAAAATACTTTTCATTAGATGTACAAAACTTGTTTTAAATAAATTTCGTAAATCATATATATGTTGCAATTTTTAAAAATAACATTTTTACTCAAAAAAGGGGGGACTAACTTTCATATTATCAAAAGGGGCTGTAAACAGATGATCACATGATTAATTTTAAAAAAATAAAGATTAATTTATTATGGCAACTAAAAGTATGAAATTAAAATTAGAGAAAAGATTTTCTTTATTTTTAACTCAATATTTTTTCATTCAAAAAGTTTATTATCAGCATTTAAAATGAATTCATATAGTTTAATTGTGTCCTCTTTTTTCTCTCTCTCTCTCTCTCTGGCTTCAAATTAATACACTCCACTTGAAGAAAAACAATACATTAAAATGTTAAAGAGAATGGAGAACAGCTTTACCCTAAAACTCTTTAGCAAAAATTTCTTTTTGCTATAAAAATTATTTTAAAATTACATTAAATACCAGTATCAAAAGAAATAAAATATTATAAAAAAATTACCAAGTAACAATTTTTTGGGGGTTATTTAAATATAAGGATGTATTGTTCTCACAATGGAAAAGGAACCAGCATTTTGATTACTTTTTAAGTTACTTAAGTGCACAAACAGAAAAGGGAAAATACTATGCATTATATTCTTAACATATATCTCAATTTTCTCTTTCCATAATCTTTACAGCATCCAAAACACATGTCATGAAAACAAGTCTGGAAAGCATCTGCAACAAAATAACATATACAAGTACACCATTGGCCAAATGGGTAGCTATATAAGTACACCAGTGGCCAAATGGGTAGCTATATAAGTACACCAGT